ATAGTATTTTAAATTATTTTATTCATATTTCTGTTATAATCATAATAATATATTACTTTAATATGCTACTTATGATGTACTCTTAGTTGTTTGGATAAATAAAAATTCACATTTCATCCAAAAAAAATAATATACTAAAATTACACATGAAACTAAATAAGTTTTTCTATTCAAAGCAAGGACCGCAAGTTAGTTAATATCATTGACTAATATAATATTTGCAACAATGTTATTATTTATAAATAATTTAATTTAAAAATTTGTGATTTATTTATCTTGAAATGAGATAAATTTTTATATCAAGTGAATTTAATTGTTCTAAGAACAAATAATTATATGAGAAAAGGAAAAAAAAGGATATTTTAGGACTATAAAAATGTTAGGATATCCAATGTAGACTCTAATTTTATTAAATTCATTATGTGATTATTATTAGATATTTTGATATTTTGAATATTAGAACATCCTGATTTTTCCTTTTCCCTAACTATATATAATTATTGGTTAGTCTTTAGTTCATCCATATTTATTTAGATGCTTAAATAACCATCTTAAAATAAAAGCATAAACAGAATTCCCTAAATGTAGTTTAGTTGTTTAAGACGCAAATTAAATGGAACAAACCCTTGGGCCCTCTTTAGGACTTATTTACAAAACACTTACTTGAGTTTTAGTGAAATGTTCAAGTAAAAGGGTTTGGAAGAATGCCAGAGGCCTAAAGAGGCCCAAAGAATTTGGTCCATTTAATTTAGGCCTTAAAATTAACGTTATTGGATTTTTTTTTTTTTAAAGAATTATAGGTACGATTAATTTTCTATTAATTTTTTAAAAATGATAAAATTTATAAAAATCAAGACTAAAAATAAAAATCATAACCATACCAAACGTGCTTAAGAAAATCTCTATATATTCTAACCCAATCAATAGTTATATCAAAAAGAACAACAGGAACAGATAATTTTGGCAGTGGTTGTCCAATTCTAGGCTCAAAATTTTTTACTCAAGATCCGAAGTAACCACCATCCCATGGCATCCATATATATATATATAAACCGAACATGCGTCAGGATTTTACCCAAAGCTTAAGTTACGAGACGAGGGATCAAAGATAGCATTAATCTTAACATGCTCTTTCACAAGAAACTAGTAAGGTTTACTTAAAGTGTCAACAATGAATTGTGCCAGAAATTGAGAGTCCATTGTGTTGAATGCATCTTGTAGACTGTAGATGTGAATGTTGAATTTCCATTTTTAAATGAGTTACAAAATAATAAGGTGTTACTAATAAGATCTAAATATTAAACCACTGACTTAAAAAATTTTATATCAATAAATATTAACTATCAACAGTTATGTAATTTAATAATAGAGTTATCTATATACTCTTAATTAGTCATATGTATATGATTGAAATCCTAGTATCTACATATTAAAAAAATACATCAACACCGAATTACTAATTTAAAAACTCTGATATCAAGTTAAGAATTATTTGATGAGAAAAAGATCAAGAACTGTTCAATTATTCACTAAATAACTTATGCTGTCTGGTAAGGTAATGGTAACACTATAAAGAAGCACCATCACGTAAAGACATGCAGCCACTTTTGACAAATTCATGGTCAATACATTTGGACCCAACAAAAATTTTAACCTATTATTTATTTTGGAACAAATTGAAAGTGACTGAAATCATGTTTATCAAATTGGTCGCACGAAATAGCCTTGTGGACGCACGGTGGTAAAAAGAAGCTTCTTGATCTTTTTTGGTTTGGAAATTTCTCAGTCGTAAGTATACGCGCGCTTTCTCTGCCAACTCGTGCGTGCAACTTGAAGCTTTAATTTTGTTTTGTAATCCGTAA